GGGGGGGGGGGGGGGGGGTCAACGACAGCGCCACACCATTGCGAATTGCGCCTGGTCTTGGCCGCAACGTCTTCCATCTTCTTGGCAAGCGATGCGATGCGATGGCTTGGTGTGCTGGAGACATGCGCTTTGTGCTCCCTTCCAACACAAGTTGTCGTGGTAGCGTCGTCTTTGTTGTCCGAGCGTCGTCTTTGTTGTTCGAGCGTCGTCTTTGTTGTTCGAGCGCTCCGACGCGAGCCCGCCGGACGCGGAATGGACGGTCAGGTCGGCCAACACTGACCCAATTCTTTGGAAACCCCGCGCGCGCGTATATCTGCTGCAAGCGAGCGCAGCGCATATGGCCAGATTCTTTTGCAACGCGCGGGAGATTCTTCTGCAACGGCGAGCATCGCTTGTCTTGATTTCTTTTGCAACGCCCCGTGCGGGCGGGTACGTATGGAGATCGGCGCCCTGTCTGCGGGTGACGGACACGCAAGCCGCTCTGTACTGGATTCCTTGGTCTGCGCGTGCGAGAATCTTTGACAACGCGGGCGAGAATCTTTGACAACCTGCGCCAGAATTCTTTTGCAATGCGCGCCATGCAGAATCACGTGAATCTTTTGCAATGCGCGCGAGAATCTTGAATCTTTTACAACCCGCGCCGGAATTCAAGATTCAAATTCTTTTGCAACGCGCGCCAGACTCACGTGAATCTTTGACAACGCGCGCCGCGAGCTTTTTTTTTTTTTTTTTTTTTACAACGCGCGCCAGAATCTCTTGCAACGCGCGCCAGAATTCTTTTACAACGCTCCGCAGGCGGAATTCTTTGGCAATCTTGAGTCTTGGATGCGCTCGCACGCAAACTGGTTTGGCCGGTGATTCACGTGACTCTGCGCGCAAGGATTCTTTGGCAATGTGCGCGCGTCTCGCACGTTCCGGGTGGCCCCTCTCGAATCGAATGCCTCGGCCATCGTGGTGCACAACGAACCGTGTGGCCATTGGACACTGGCGCGACCCGTGGCTGTGCAGTCCATGTCCGTTTGCCATGACAGAGCCCGCGGCGCAGCTCTCTGGTGCAAGACGGACAATGTCCGCTGCCTACTTGTCACGTTTCCGGCGTCGCTGTTTGCTGTGCCGTCGGTCGAGTGTGCGATTGTAGACCTCGTTGGTCGAGCTTATCCTCGACTGGATCGAGATGATTTGCAAGCAGTCTATTGGGGCGTCCAGATGTAGTAGTGGTCGCGCAAGGCAATAGCTGCTGTCTCAAACGTAGCGCCACGCCGTCATCAGTGTGCGCGCGCGTGCGTTGTAAGCAGTCGATTGGGCCATCGAGATGTAGTCGTGGTCGCGCAAGGCGATAGTTGCGGTCTCGAACGTAGCGCCACGCCGTCATCATTGCGCGCGCGTGTGCGTCAGTCTACGACGTTGATGGGATGCCATCGAGGAAAGTCTTGCACAGTTGGCGTGCGCGAGTATTTCTTGAGGATGGCGCCTTGGGTAAAGCACACAATTGACATGCGCACGCCAGCTGTCAGAGTGCCGTTCCCATGCCGCAGCAAGGCAGAAGGAAAGAGGGAGAGATCCAGAGGCTTGTTGTGAAAGGTGATGCCAACATCAGGCAACTTCAGGGGGGCTCCGTCAAATGCGCCAACTGGCATCACCATACACATGCCAAACTTGGCATCCTTTTTGTCGCAATGCATGCCAAGTGCCGTGCGATTGGAAGGCATGTTGACGGCAAGGGATGAAAAAGGTGCTACCAGCGCAGCACGTCGATGATTCATCTCTTCTGCCATACGTCTGCTAGTGCCAGCAACAAGACGATGAGGGGCAACGTTGAGCAGGGAGAGGCGAACCTTGTTGTACAGCTTGAAAATGCTTGGGCTAGCAAGGGCAAATAGCAACGCCATGCGCTTGCAAATGGACGACATTTCCCTGCCATAGATGAAGGGCAAGAGCGTCTCTTTGTTGTCCTTGATCTCGACGTTGTAGTTGTCTTCTTCCATTGCTGCTGCGCTGGTACCTGGAGCACAGAGGAGCGCATGCAGACAGCCAAATGATTACCCACGGCTCCTCTCGATTGCCTTGGCAGGCAGGTGAAGCGCCCTTGCCCAGAGCATCCAGTTGCGGTACAGCTCCGCGCGATGTGCTTCCCACTCTTTGAGTTCGCGCATTGCTCGATGATGAGAACGTTTGCAATGCTTGCGAGTGACCCTACAGGCCTGTTGGCGCGAGGCGAGGACATCGTCGACGTACTGCGCTTGCTCGAGGAGATATGTCGCTTGCTGTGCTTGCTCATTGGGCGATAGACGCCACGGCTTTGCATCAGCGGTCCAAGTTGCGCGAGTTGTCGGCGGCGGTGACGCGGATGGTGGAGCCGGCGCGGATGATGGGGCCGGCGCGGATGATGGGGCCGGCGCGGATGATGGGGCCGGCGCGGATGATGGGGCCGGCGCGCATGATGGAGTAGCAGCAGCGGCGCGAGTCAACAGTGGCGGCAGAAGCGTGGACAGCGACGGGGTGGACAGCGATGGCGCGGATGTTGGAGCCGTGTATGACGGAGCAGCAGCAGCAGCGCCAGCAGCAGCAGCGCGAGTCAACAGCGGCGGCAGCAGCGTGGATGGCGACAGCGTGGACAACGACGGCGTGGATGGCGGGGATACCGTGGGTGGAGCAGCAGCAGCAGCGCGAGCAGCAGCGGCGCGAGTCAACAGCGGCGGCAGCAGCGTGGACGGCGATGGCGACGGCGTGGATGATGGATCAGCAGCAGCGCGAGCGCGAGTCGACAACAACGGCGATGGCGACGGCGCGGATGATGCATCACCAGCAGCACAAATTTGAGACGGCTCGTGCGTCGTGTTGCTACAAGGTAGGTCCTTCTTTGGAGTTGTGGCATGACGCTGAATCGAAGGCTCACTCCACTGCTGACTAAAGAATTGGAACCCATCCCGATCCATCAAAAAGTCGTACTCTGGCTGACCCCGACCACCATTGAAGCGCAACTGGCCATCTCCATTCTGGAGGGGCGCGGCGAGAACAGGGGTCCTTAGCGAGAGGCACAGCACAATTGCTTGATTGTGGAGCTGCTTGCACATCGTCAATCCATTGCTGCTCACCTTCCATGTATCTGTCTTTTGCTGCATGCCTCGCGCTTGGCGTGCTCGTTTGACTTGGGGAGCGACAGTAGGCGGCTGATCATTATTGCCATTGAGCGCCTTGTCTAGCATGCTGAATGCGTGGCAGACGGTAACCCGTACATCGATCGGCGCGCTAGGCAGCGCAACGGTAGCCCTGAACTGGTCAAACAGGATTGGCAGCGGTGAAGGTCGCTGGTGAATCCTTTCTGGAAAGTGGCAGCGATGCCAGGCAACGTCAGAGGACTGAATAGCAGCAGCTATATCAGCCTTTTGATCCAGCAACCTTTCAAAGGTGAGGTGGTCGCGCTGCGCTGCCGACAAGCTGGCCAGGTCATTGACGTCGATGCGGCCAATGAGCTGAGTGCGCAGACTTCTGTCCTGCAGACTTTGTAGAGCCGCAAAACGATGGAGACTGCGCGTGCATAGCCCCCAACGAGCTTTCAACGCAATGGCAATGGCAAGACTTGACTTGAATCGGGTGCGAGATGGTGCCAGTTTGTGCTGCTTGATGTGCAGGCGCGACTTGGTTGGCCGTCGTCCTGTGCCAGCGCAACAAGAAAAGGAGCGACGTGAGTCCGCGGGGCATGAGTGCACGAGCAGGCGCGCAAGTGACAACAGCGACGGCGAGGTCTTGATCGCACGAGCGGGCCGCCGACGGATGATGACGCCTTTGGAGCAAAGTGCGCAAAGTGACGACAATGCCTTCGAAGCGGATGCGCGCGATTGACGATGGCGACGAGGTCACGAGCGGCGCAACGGCGGCAGCAACGACGAGGGTCCTGACATTGAGTGCGCGCGACTGGCGATGACATTCTTGAAGCGGGTGCGCGCGCAAGCGACATCAATGGCGTCTTCATCGCACGAGCGGTGCGACGACGACGACAACGTCTTGGAGCGGGTACGCGCGACCGACGGCGACAACGAAGCCTTCATCGCACGCGCGGCACGACCGCAACGGCGCCAGCGACGAGGTCGTGTGTTTGGCAAGACGACGTCTCCAGCGTGCCAGCGCTATCAATGACATCCGCACTGGCGGCACCGTCGACGCGCGCTCGCTCATCGCACCGACGACGACACCTTCAATGCGCTCGCTCATCGAGCACCGCAATCGCATCGCATCGTGCTACCGACCGCCCGCCAGTCAAACATCTACAGCTCATCCACAACCTCATCAAGAGCATCGAACAGAGGGCATCTGAGTGTGCAGGCCAGGAAGGTGTCGGACATCTACAGTGTCCGAGTAGGGTTAGGGTTAGGGTTAGGGTTAGGGTTACAAGGGGGTCCCCAATAGGGTTTTTGGAATTTGTGTTATAGGCATCTAGAGGGGCCTC